AAAACATTGTCTCTACATATAGAAGCTATTGATAATTTTATAATTGAATTACATTATCCAGAATAGAATATGTATTGTGAGAAAAATACGGTAAGTAGTTTAATTTGGAGGCCTGACAGGACCTATCAGCGTCCGCGGACCACGGCTTCGCAATATAAATGAACCGATGTTGTAATTGGTTCTGAAAGCGGAACTGCGCTTGACGCGTAATGTGACGAGCATTGTAAACAAAAGTATGGTAAATGTTTCCCTAGCCTAGAAAAGAAGGAATGCTGTCTCAAGAGTCTTTTCCTTGAGTAAGGTAAGAGGCCTAAAACACAAATTCCCCTATTTAGATACCACTTTCTTGTTAACGGTATGGGTGTGTATGGCAAATGAAACGTTAGCTAAAAGCCAGTGGCTCTAGTTTTCTCCTCTCTTGTAGCTAACATAACTCGATTTCTGCACCGAAACTCGCGCAAACAGCTCATTATTCTAACGTTATCGTTAAGGTAAAAGTCAAATACAATGGTTAGCTCAAGCACCCATGCACTCTCAACGCTCGAAAGTGTCTAGGTAGATGGCTAGCGGGACTGTTTATAGCTTGACATTAGATGCCACGCTAGCTAGCTACTCTGTGTGTGTGTGTGTCACGCTGATCGATAATCGTGGACATTAAATAACATATGACTCTGCGCAGGTCTTGTGCGGTCAATGTCGATGAGTTTGGCAAAACTAGCTTTCATTTCTTTGTTCATAATTAATGATTTTTTTTTTAAATGTACGTTTTCTAAAAGATGAAAGATTAGCGGCACCAGATATTTAACATCAGTTAATGAGTTTCTGTTCTTGTTGTCAATGACTCTCAAACATTCTTTTCCACAACCAATTAATTAAACGTGAAACATGCACGGAAATTAAATGTATAGGGCAAAACACACAGGCTATACAATATTAATCAACCTGAAGGTCAATATTTGGCTAAACCCCAAAATTTGCCGGGCCCCCAGTGGCCTCCCTCTTCCCCCTGGCAAGACTGTCCTATGCTGGTAATGAAATAAATAAAATAATAAAGGTGAGCACGAGGTAGGAAGACGCCCTAGAATGAGTTGAAAAAAATAAATTGTCCTTTATTCCTGCATATAAATTGTTTACTTTTGTGTGTGTGTGTGTGTGTGTGTCACTTGTATTGTCTCACTTTGTATGTTCCTCAACCTTATCTGTTTTTGGTGTGCCACCCCAAATATTTTAGTGGCCCACATTTGGCCACCCTTATGACAAAATTGTGGAGGTGCCCCTGCTTCAGTAATGTTGAGGCCTGAGCTCTAGAAAGGCCAATCATGACTCTGTGTTTTTGTTTTGTGTCCGTCCGTTCCCCCCCCCCACCCATACATTCACAGAAACTGGTTGAAAAGCAACCAGTTTCCAGAAGAAAAAGTTGAAAGACCTTCAAACTGTATTGTTTGGCATTTTCCATAAAATCAACTACAGAAATGGAAGCAAATTGTGTATTTAGTTGCATGCTACTAATAACAAAGTGCCTAAAGATACAGTTTAAAATCACTTCTTTGCCAAGGTGTCACTTGTGTGTTGATAAATCCCTAATTAATCCTTTAACTTGGGTGCTTGAATTATTTCTTGGTCAGCCTTAAGTGGTTAACAAACAGAGAAACATTCCTATGAAAATGGTCAGGTACAATGACCGAATTTAAAAACAGGTGAAAAAGCAGCCACTGTCCAAACGAAAACACGGAAAGGCTGAGGAACTATTGCTCAAGACAACTTTAAAAAGTTACCAAAAAGCCTGAGTACAAAATCGAATACCTTGAGGAGAGGCTCAAGACTTTTGGACTGCATGTTGTATGTGCTACAGACATAATTTGATTGTTATTTAGCAACAACATGGTGCCCACTACCTTCATAAAACTGAAGACATCACTTATTTATGATGCATGTGTGTCGTCCTCACAGAGCTCCAGGATGTTGTGTGAAATCCTGCTCACATCGCTATGGCTCCTGTTTGTTATCTTCTGGCTGGAGTTGATAAGCCTGTGGTTGTTCCTGTCCATGTTCTTCCAAGACCGTGCATTTTACCACTGGGGGGATGGGTAAGAGATTGTTCTATGGTGTCTCTTTTAAATATTTTTATTTCTTGAGTGATTAAGTTGTATCTACATGTTCTCACAATATCTGAATTAAATGTAGTCATTCTTCATCTAAGTACCTGATTTATTCTACTGCTTTTCCCATTGAATTGGTTTAAGGCTGCGCCATCCTCTTGTCTCCTTATTAGCTAGGATCCATAGACAACTGCTGCTATTAATTTATTTAAAAAATTGTGTCTCTGACATTAAGAGCTTTGTGTCAAGAGCAACTAACCTATCAGGACTACGTTGGATGCATTGCTTTGGAACAAACACTTGTTCAGAAATTCCTCAGTTTTTCTATGCAAATAAAACCCAGCTACAGTTTCTTCTGCTGCATATGTTTTGATTTCACACACACCGATAACAGACCTATCTGGGAACAGTTAGATGTGTGCAAGATGGCACAGTTGTGCTGAGCAAACTGAATGCTCTTTCAAATTTGAATTTGAGTTTTTCAAGGGCAGTTAAGTATGTGTCGGTGTGTTGTTACTAAGTCAGACACCCATAATTATAAACAAGTTTGACTTCACATGACTCATGATGTCTTGCTCACTGAAATGTCTTTGAACTAACTTGGACAAAGTTTGTGGAAAAAAGAGAGACTGTAGACTTACGAGGATTGAAAGTTAAGATGTCACCATTTAAACTATGGCTGTTATTTGATCTTAACCCTCAAGCCCTGTTTTGAACTAGTAGATGCAAAAAATATTTTAAAGCCATTTGCCTGTCATTGCAGGATGTTTGCAGATGATCCTGGACAGATGATCTACATGTTAAGCCGGTATGAATTATGTCTTGATTCAGTGTGTTGTGGGTTTTTGTTTGTTTTTTTAAAAATATGAGCTGTTTGTTTATACCTGTATGCAAATCTGATCTGTTGTCCCTTTCCACAGCGCTGATGCCCAGGCAGAGACGCAAACCTGAGATGGAGAAAACAAAAGAAAAGAAAACAAGAAGTCCACTAAAGACTCTGAATGGAGAGCTGTTGAAGTAATGTGACTGAAGAATTTGATAAAAGGCAGGAGCCTCTTTTTTTTT